ATAAATAAAAAAAAAAAAAAGTTGAAAAAAAAATTTTTTAAAAAAAAGAAATGCTTGAGATTTTCTGTAAATAAGCATTAGAACTAGACAGAACCTACAAGACTAGTGATTGTGACATGAAATCAAGAATCTGGGACCTGGAGTAGGCAAAACCAAGTAAGTGGCCTTCATTATGCATGATTGGGGTTTTAAATTTTTTTTTTAACATTTTATTTATTTTTGAGACAGGACGAGACAGAGCATGAACAGGGGAGGGTCAGAGAGAGGGAGACACAGAATCTGAAACAGGCTCCAGGCTCTGAGCCGTCCGCACAGAGCCCGACGCGGGGCTCAAACTCACAGACCGTGAGATCGTGACCTGAGCCAAAGTCGGCCGCTTAACCGACTGAGCCACCCAGGTGCCCCTACGCATGATTGTTTTTATTGGGTTTGTTTCTGTTTGCGTGTGTAACATGTGAACCTCTGTTTTAAATGTCAGTCTCTCTCTCTGATCTTTGAGCCCCATTCTGTTTTGTGTGTTTGTTTCATCACTGTTGTTGCCCCACAAGGTAGTGCGGTACCTATCATAGTTGAGATTTACAGTTATTATTTATTTATTTGTAACAGGCTTTAAGTAATCTCTATACCCAACGTGGGGCTCGAACTCACAACCTCGAGATCAAAAGTTGCATGGTCCCCTGACCGAGTCAGCCAGGTGCCCTGAGATTTATAATTATTAAGTAGTCTTCTATTTAATCTTTAGTTTGCCAAATTACTAGTATAAATGCTCTTATAAGAAAGCTGTGGAAAATATAAATAAATACGCCTTAACATGTTCTGAAATATTTCTCCATCAATCATAGAAATAACTGATATTCCAATTACGAACCAATTTTTCCACTTATCGTAGCAGGTTGTTTTATTATGCATACTTGGCACCTTTTTTTCTTAGCCCATTTTTATATACTATATGTATTTGAAAATAATAAAATTGGCTTTCCTTAAAAAGTCTCTGATTCCAATTTGCCTTTGCATTAATCAGCCTTGATTAGTGACATTTTATTACGCTAGCAAAATTTTAAATGCCTCGTATTTTTGATATAAACATGGTAAGCCATTTGCAATCATGCCCGTGAATATTTCATACATCTTATAGTTCATTTCAGTAGGGCAGACATAATCTCCATATTTGAATAGGCCGTCCTATGAGGAAGAAGTAAGATAGTTCTTCCTATTATATGGGTATGTATGTCTTCATTGAGCCAAAAGGAGGAAACTTTCACAACCCAGATCATTATTTCAATCATACCGTTTGAATGTTTGTTGAGTCACAGCAATCAAAGTGCTCATCCCAAAGGGGTCGTGCGTGTGCAATGTGGCAAGATAAAATGGTTCTTTGGTGTGTGCATCCCACTAAGGGTGTGCTTTCTCATCCTTGACCTTCAACTGTATGCGATCATCAGATAATACTTAACTAAATAAATGTACAGGCTACAGACTCACTCAACCATCCATCTATCCCTCCAAGCACCCCAAACCAACAGTCTGTTCGTCTAGTCTGCCAGTCACCATTTTATTTACCATCTGCTAGACACCGGGCATTATGCTAAGTGGTGGGGAAACAAAGCAGTCAAGACAGATTCCCCAGTTTCTAGTTGGTGCCTGTCATATAAAGGTGTTGGCCACTGTCTACCCAAAGAATAAAGGATGAACGGTTCTGGGGAAAAGATAATGAGTTCAATCTTAGGCCTATCCATTGGGAGGTTTTAGTCACTTGGAATGAAGGTGCAATGGCACAGCTGTGTATTTTGGGAGAGAAATCCCAGATTATAAATTACTGCAGAGAAGCAGTGAAGACATCAATGTGAACGCATTCTCATTGATACGGTATGTAAATCGATCGAACAGAACAGAGGGTTAAAGACGAAGTCCTGGAAAATGCATGACGGAACATAAAGACAGAACAAAGCCGAGGTAGCCAGGAAGATGAATGAATGGCTAGAGAGGTAGGGGGAATGCTTGCAAAGGGTACTGTCATAAAGACACGGGCAAGAAAGGATTTCAAAAACGCAAGAGTGGTTGACACTTTTAAATGCCATAAATGTCACAACAGGTAATAAAAATCAGAATAATTAACACTTATCCGAATACCTCCACTGATTAAAGGACTATTTTAAGTTCTATACGAGCGTTAATTCATTTAATCAACATGATGATCTTATGAGGTAGGTATTACTGTTTATGCTGCTGCTGCTGCTGTTGCTGCCACTTCTCCTTGAACGGAGGAAGAAACAGACTGCTTGAAAGGAGGGCCATAAGGTCATATCGATAGGGGGCGCAGGCGCCAGGGCTTGGAACCAGTCAGACTCCCCAAAGCCCATGCCAAAAGCATCCATTGGCTTTGATCACACAGAATTCCCTGAAGACCATACAG